ACAGCACTTGCCTGAATTTCCAAAGCCCTGTCTCACCAGTGACATGGCAAACATTGAAAAACAGGTCTACTCTTTCACCAAGGACTACTTCTTCATTCAGCTGATCACTGATTAGGCAAAATAACTGCATGTTATAATTGTAACAGAGTGTAATGACTGTGCATGATGTAGAGAAAAGAAAGTTCAAGACCCGAAGTTGATACCTCTCACAGAGTCTCATAAGATTCAAAAAGCACTTTTGATGATTTTCACTATTTTTTAACAGCTGCACTGCCTGAGCTGTTCAGAGTTTTAATGTAATAGCTATAATGTATTTTGCCGCTACTTTCTTCTCATTACAGTTTAAATGTCCAAGCATTTATTCATTCAATACCAGAGAGGAAAGAGAAACAAAGAAGAAAAGAGAAGAAAGGTCACTGTCAGGCCAAGATCAAGTCTGGAAAATTTCAGTTTGAGACATGAGCAGTTCAGGAAGTTATAAGCAACTGAAACAATAAAGGAATTATAATTGAAATACTACAAGAATTTTAACTATAGCTCTGTCCATGCTAACCAAGTATTATTTAATGTATTTCAGCAGCATTCAGAAACTCTTCTTGACATGAATGATCTGTGCTTTCAAGATCACTCCCAACCTCCTTGGAAATGCAGAAGAAAGGGATGATTGGTATTGGCCACAGCTGCAGCTGGTGGAGATCAGCACAGCTCCCTCACTTTCAGTTACATCAGTGAGTCACAGGAAAAGCAACAAAAAGGAAACAAACCAAAACTTGTAACAGCAGATGTAGCTTACTTCTGCATTGCTTCCCCCAGCACAGAAGTGATGTCTCCGCCAGCCTCTCACCAGAGCAGATAATTGAACTGTGGCCTGTTCTGATGCCGCCTGCAAGGCTGCGTTTCCCCAGGTGAAGAGAACTGGATGTGCAAATCCCAAGTTCAGTGGTTTTGTTCCCATCTCATCTGAGCATATTGCCATCATGTCCTTGCCCTGCTCCTGACAGGAGGGCCATGAATGGAATAAAGCCTAATCAAAATTATCCCTTCTCTCCAAAACAGATTTATAATTGTGTGCAGAATAAATGTGCCTTTATTTTTCCCTTCACTGCTCCAAACACAGAATCTAGAAAGGCATCCTATAATTGCTGAATTCCTATTGAGATAATCCTAGAATGATCATTTTTCCAAACAGTGCTCTGCTAAAAATTTCAGACATCAATGAAAATTCTGCATGCCACCTCAGGCATTTAACTGTCTACACCTACTAAACAAAAAAAAAAAAAAAAATGCAAACAACATTTCAAATTCAATCTACTTGACTCCAATTAAGAGTAATTGGAAAAGAGCAATTGCGTGGAGTTTCTAGTGCAATGCACTAGAGAAACTGCCACCAGTATCTTCACTTCTTTCCAAACACTGTGATACTGTGTTTCAGTCAAAAACTAGATCATAAAACTTCTCTATTGGAAAGCGTTTATAGCTGTTTGGACAGGATTATTCTGTTCAAGAGGTTATAATAATAAAGGAAACTTGCAAGAATACTTTTTCCAAACTCTTGGTACGTCAATGCCAGTTTGGGAAATTGGCTCATTATTTATCCTCGTTTGGCTCCTCCAATCTCAATTTCTTGTTTGTTTTGACCTCCTTCTGGACAAATATAAAACTTACTCTTTCATCTAATTAACAGGAGGGGGCCTATTAAAAAAAAATCTCTCATTTATTCTAGTTCCAGAATCAGTTTTACAAAAACATTGTCAGAGTTTCAAGAAGCATTCAGATGTTAAGAGTCCTGCCAAAGTTTACAATCTAGTTATATCCTGCTACATAAAAAAAAGAATATTTAAAAAAAAGCAACCCCCCCCAACCTGCTCTGTTTTTACAATTTTATACAAATCTCTGGTAAGAAACAATCCACCTCCACATATTCACATGAACCCAGAGGATCTGTGGATAAGCCTTATTCTCCTTAGTCTAATCAAATTGTCCAATTCACTTTCTCCATTTCCAAACTCTCAACACATTTTTCTCAGCCACTCCTCCCTGTTTTCCTGTTGTACAAGAAAACAAATCAGATTTTCCCTTCTCCCCATCACATCTCCCTTTTGAAAGCTTAAATCATCGAGCAAACAGTTCACCCACAGTTGTAGTATCAGAAAGCTTTTTCCTTCTTTCGGTTCCCCATTAAATACCTGGTCATTTTGTACCACAAGCAAGTTCACTGTCCATCAGCCTCACAACAGGAATTCAGGGGAAACCTTTGCCCATTTTCTGGGGCTTGAGGAACAAAGTGCCCAACAGTTTCCTCTAAGTGATCAAGCTGGCTTTGTAGTTTTTTACATGTTTTTCCATGAGTCATAAGAATGCACACAGTGGAGTCATCCTCAAATGAAATAGCCTTAAATGATGTTACATCCAATTTGCCCTGTATCTCATAAGGATTTAGCCCCAAATATGGACACAGAAGGGAAAATAAGGGCACTTGGGATAGAAAAAAGTGTACAACATTCATCTGGTTCTGTAATCACTTATTAAGTCCAAGATCTCCACTGTTTTTAATAAAAACAAAAATCAAGAGCAAAAATAACCCAAACTTTTATCCAGCTGCAGAAATTCTGTCTCCCAAATATTCTCTGCCAAGAAGAAGAATCAGAATAATTAAATTATTCTCCTTCAGCTGGCTCTAAGATTTTAGCTAAGAGCGTTTTAGTTTCTGCTTGCTTTTACAGATTTTGAAATGCCTTTACATGGAAAAGTGTTTTATTCTGAATTCTGTAGTTAGCACATTCACAGTCTCAAATTTTACATTTTCAGAGAGGCCCACCTTCAGCCTTTTCCTGTTCAACAATCCTACCAAAATAGTTAACATCATATATATTGCATAGTGTTTTTCAGAGACTCCGTCTAAGCAAGTCAGGTAGATTTATGCAATATTCACACTTTCTTCCATATCCTTGACACATCAGGTGTACATGAACAGTCAGGTACTCAGTGCAATGATTTTGCTGCAAAGGCATTATTGGACAATTCCTCTTGTTTTTTAGTACATCTAAAGTTTCTGTGAACCCATTTAAAACCCAAAATGTTTTAAATGTGCAAAAAAAAAGGACAAGAAAAAATATAGTTCAGTTCTGATTAATGGTGCTATATTTTAATGTCTTGCTGGGAGGCTCAACCCATTGAGTATGTATCCTCAGGATATTTTAAATTTATGGTAGTTTCTTCCAAACCATTTTGAATCCTGTCAGGAAAAAAAAATGGCAGGATGACTGCTTAACAGATGACATAGCATCTTCTCTGTAGCTTTCTATAACTGTAGGAGGTACAGAACATAAACCCCAAATTCCCATTAAAATCACGGGAAATAAACTAAAAGATGAAAGCAAGACAGGTCCAAGCAGCTGCCTCAAACTTTTTCATTAGGAAGGCCCTAGCAGTGGGAGGGACACAGAAAGCCCCCAGCTTTATTTCACTTCAAGGAGATTTTAGTCCAGCTGCTTTTTAAACTCTCTTTAAAGCTTTGCACCAATCATCTTTTCCTACCACCCCAATGGTGAGCATAAAAGGCTCAACTCAACTGCTGAGTCTCCTGGCATATCAATCTAGTCCCCAGGTTAAATGAAATTAGCAAGTAGGAGGTGTAAAACTAACTTCAGGGACTACTTGCTTCCTCCCTCCTGAAAATTCAGATAGGGTATCCAGAACCCTAACAAAGTGGCAGAGTCTAAAAATCCACCTGGGATCAAATCATAACCCCACAAATCCACAGAAAGGGAAAGCATAGCTAAGAGTACTCATCAAAGAAGCCAGCACTGACCCAGATGTCCATCTGTGGAGCATGAGAGGTTGATCTGGGAAGCAATCACATGCTCCACTCCCCTCCCTTGGCACCAGCCATCAGTCACTCCATGGGAGAGGAGGCTGCTATGCCTTCCTTAAATCTCTATGCCTAACCTGGTCCTTGATCCACAGATACTTACATTTTTATGTGTTTTCTATATTTATGCTCTTGCACCCTACAAGTTGGAAAATAAAGTAAACTCCAGGGTCTTTCCTTTGTATATTCTGTGTCCTTGCCTTAAGACAACTCTTTATCACTTCTGGCTCCAACCTGAACACCATGCAGTCTCCACCACGTCTGTCTTCAGAATGCTCTCACAAAGGAAGAGGAGACAAGGGGCAAAGATACCAAACTCCACGTGTGACTCAAAACAGCACTTACACATAAGGCCAAGCCTTTCACTGCAGCTGAAATGTGCACTCAGCAGTACCCACCTTCACTTTGGAGCACTGGCTGCCTGGCAGCCCCACCCTGCCAGCACAGCAAGGTGATCCTCAGGCGCACAGAAAGGTCAATACAGCCCTGGGCATATCAGAGTTGTGCAAAAAAAAGTACTCTGGACTCACTATTTTCTCTACCAGAGAAAAACACTGCAAGCATATTGGTACATAGGCACTTAGTTCCCACTGATATGGAAATTAAAGATTTTGTCCATGTTTTCTCACGGAGCTTGTGGCACAGCAAGCATTAAATCAATATCAACTTTTGCTTGCCTTTGTGCAGGCTTTAACAGGCTTACATTAACTTCCAAGGATATCAAAAACTTGACAACTATATCCTGAATTGGCACAGCCTTAAAGAATGAGTTAAGTTACCCAAACCACACAAGAAATGCTGAAATCATTCTTGCATTCAGACCTATAGTTGTAACCACTAATGTGAACTACAATTCTTATGGAAATTTATACAGTAGCAAGGGTAAAGACTGTAACAGCAGCAGCATCTGTTACCAGGGTTACCAAATCTAGAAGGAAAACAAAAACCTGCTGACACTGATTTACAGAGAGATATATGTAAACATTCATGTAGACAAGAGATTTATATTTTATAGTCAGTGAATTTTGGTGGTGTAACATTAAATACTGCTGCTATTGAAGCTAAACCAAAACAATGTGAGGAAAGTTAATGAACAGCCACACCAAATGACATATATCTGATTTCTTACCTGGAGTGTGTTCTGTTCATCCATCCCTCATTACTGCTCTCCCAGGGCAATGCCTCAGCAACCACATAAAAAGATCTGGTAAACTCCTAAAAGTTTAAAAAGAAATATCATGTTACACAATATAAAAGCCACCAAATTCATTGCAAATAGAAAAATAATATTTCAGACTTCAGTGTGACACTGAATTTGCAAGGGTTTTTTTTAGTTCTGGTGATTTAGACTTTCTCCATGCGTTCAAAGTTGTGATACGTTTTGCTAAGGCAGAATCAGAGCCACAAGTAACACAATTACTTACAAGACTAATTATAGATAGAAAAAACTCAACATGACATGTAAAAATAGAAGAATCAAAAGAGAAACAGTAGTCCGCAGTCAGTTTGATGATTTGGAGCCTATGCTGCATCTACGTATCCACTTGTTGATACTAATTCATAGTAGTTCTACAGAAGTTTTTCAGTTCTCACAGAAAAAGAAATAACATTTCCAAATTATGGTTGCATTTTATAGAAAGAATGACTTATAGTAAATGTGAAATATACCTTTCCTTAATATTTTTACTTTTCAGTTGGAAAGCTCTGTGTTTAAGTGTCCAGGTACAAAAAATACTTATTCTGGACACAGCTATGTTTAGTGCTGCATTTTGACTTTAGAGCCACAACATGAGTACATTAAAAAGCTCTGCAACTTACATCAGTTAAATTGTATCTCTGCAAAGTCTTCTTTTTACAAATCAGATACCAAATAGGAAAAAATGTGCACTGCTAGTGTTACATGTGTCTACTTGATTAACCGAGTAATGATGCAGTCGGGAAATTCACCTTTCAGATTTCACATATTGCAGTTAACTCCCATGTCTGCAAGCAGAGCACCATAAACTGCATGGGTAAAACATGTTTTCTAGGGCACAGGAAAAGTCCTTCTTCATAACAGCACACAGGTGGGTCTGCTCTTACATAAGACAGCATATTTTATTGTAAGCTACATCTATAACACACATCTCCTCCCTGCTGCATGCTATAAAACTATCTCCATCTGATCTAAGGGGCACAATGCAATCTTCACATAGGTCCCACTCAATTTCCAGCAATCTGCACCACACAGAAGAACATTCTGATTTCTGCTGCTTCAGTGCAGTCCAGCTGCCTACTCCAGTAAGTCAGGCTTAGCAAAGCATCACTCAGGATAGGGCTACAACTGTGTTTGCCTGTACTTCATTTACAAAGAGACAAAGCAAAGAAAATCCACAAGCAGAAACCCATCTCACCATCTACAAAACTTGAAATGCTTTATCTAATATTAGCTTTTCTATTTTATGTCTTTTCACATCACCCCAATTTTACATAACTGTCTAAAAGCCTAGAGAACCTCACCCCCTATTATGCAGCAGAGGCTTCAGCATATCTCTGTGTTAAGAAATAAAATACAGCAGGATCAGGTGATATTCTTATTTCATTAGTGACTCCTCCAATATTTGTTCTGTTTACAAATTAAATCAATAAATCAATCATATAAGTGTAAGTTAGCCTTATCCAGCATGCATCTCATAAACTTGGTGTACCTTCAAGCTATTCCGTAGCAGCGGGAGACCCTAAATTACAGTTCTCTATTCACATTTAAATCCCACTGGTGTGAATTCAACAATGAGCCAATGAAGACCTAACATATACGGAGACACATAACAGTTGTACCATTACCTGCAGTGGCTTTGATCTATAATTTTCGTCTTATAACACTAAGGTCCTGAAAATCCAGCCAAAATATCAGCCAACTTTTCCCAAAAAACATGCTATTAAAACTCAGGTATCTTCCAACAGAATCTCTGCAATTTCTCTGCAAGGAGACCCAACATCACTGAAGAATGTAGGAAAAACAGAAACCTCCCTAAAGCACAAGCTGCCTACCTGAACTTAAGGCATTAAAAAAAAATAAAGACAAAATTGGTTGATAGAAGAATATACGTAATTTATTTAACTGCAATTCCTAACTTTAGAGGATAATTGCCACTTGTGACTAATTAAAGCCATATTAAGTATTAAACAAGAGACCATCAAAAACATTCAGCTCAAAGAGTTCTGGAGCAGGGGTATAGTGAAGAACAAAAGTTCATGTGAAATTCTATTCAGACTGTGGCTCCAGTTCATCCCTATGAACTGTTGATGGTCTCTACAGTTTCAGAAGGTGGTCCACAAAATAATCATGAAGAGAGAAAAAAAACAAAACCACATTTCCGAGCAAGCAACAAAACTGGGGAAAAATAAAATGAGTAGGTCACCAGTCAAAGCTGAGTGTGATTCTCATCTGGTCACAAATGAGGAACATTGTTGAAACAAAGCACAATGTTATCTATACATTTTTCTTTTATCTGGAAAAAGCAAAAGTATTAGGTTACCTACTGATGAAAGACAGATTGATGAATACTTGCACAAGTTATATTTCTTTGAAAATATATACTAGGCACACAAAAATGCCTCATAGGGGCAAAATCTTTGAAGCAAAAATAAGGAACACAAAAGCACATGACAGAACCCAGAATGCTTTCCAGCCCTTGGTGTCAAATGTGGGCCCAAGCAGAACCTCAGGCCAATTTTGGGCAGACCAGCCTTCATGCCTTGGCTTCAACACCAGGAGCTCCCAGCAGGGAACCCAGATGGGCACTGTGGCATTTTAGACAGGGGATCACAATGGTCACCAACCTACCAACCAGGACTTGTTCACCAACTCCAAAGCCCAAATAAAGCAGAAGACAAAGCTAATATCAAGATTTAACCTTTAAATTAGACAGCTTTCATCTGTTTGATCTCTTAAGCTAATCAGGGCAGTCACATTAGTCAATTCAAATTACCTGACTTCCTTCCCAAGGAAATGGATGCAAGTATTGCTTTGTCTACTCAGGCAATAGTGCTGCCTGAGGCTAGCAATTCTAAAATGCTGGGGAAGAGAGTCAAGATCACTAAAACCAAAATCCTTCCACCCTCTCCTTGAGGAGAGAGGAGCCCTGAGGGATCATACTATTGTCCTGAGCAGTGGTTTGGCCCTCTGCACCACTTGCTTGAGTGGAAAGCTGGCTGGTGATGACTTGTACCAGTCATCACCAGCCAGCTGAGATATTACTGAGTGAGGAAGCCCCTGCCAGCAGCCCCTCTGCTCTCCCCCATTCCTGAGCAGAGGTGCTGCTGGGAGATGAGACAATGAGGTCTATTTATGTAACTGAAGAGAGTCGGTCATCCTAGAATTCCTCCTTTTCTGCCAGGAACCATTAAAAGCTGTTTGTGCTAGCTGTGGAAATCAGTTGTGCTCTTCTGGAGCAATCAGATATATCCTGTGGGTATTGCTGGCTGCCAGGCTGAGTTCCAGCATCTCTGTCTACATGATACCCCCTCTTCCTTCACACCAAGCAAAGTTTTGTGGCAGAAGATCGTGTGAAATGCATCAGAAAACATTGTTTCTTTCATAAATACTATCAATGCTTCTCATAAGAGCTACACTAGGAATTATTTTACAAGAAAAAGATCATTTGTAGGCCAGGGACAAAAGCACTACCATGAACTAGGTCAATCCCATCATTTGTTACTGTTCAAAAGTACAATAACAGCGGGAAGAGAAGGTCAGGGTGGAATAATCATTTGTTAACAATTTTAATAGTGAAGCTTTATTGGTTTTCCCTATGGATTCTCCTAGTTATTATAGTGAAATTAAGTGTTTTTCCTCCAAGTGAACTCTTGTTAATCCTTTTATTTAGGTTCAGAGCTACAGTACATGACCCTGCAAGAACATTCATCTACAGTCACAGCTGGAGCTGCAGACTCACTGGCTTGAAGGAATTAATTTCTTTGCAAGGCGGAAGCAACTGAAAAGCCAAAGGCTTATCTACAGGAAAATCTGAATTTCACCAACTTGTACAAAGAACAGGACAAACCAAAAATCTATAATCAGACACCTCATTAAAGAGCAGATGAGAAAAAACTCTGGCACATTAGAATGATGCAGTTTGGGAGGGAGAAATATTTTAATGGTTTAAAAAAAAAATCTGAATTTTATAATCAGATTAAAATTTACTCCAATGAACTACCACCAAGAGGTCATTCAGACTTCACAGTGCTTAATCCCAGACACCTAGGCTTTCTATTATCTCATACCTTTGACAGTAACTTATTCATTTGCAAGACTTATCTGAAGCCAGTTACAATATAACCAAGTGAAAAGCCTGTTCTTGCTTCACCTTGGTTGTCAATTTCTCAGTCCACTTTCTCCCATGTAAGTAAATAACAATAGAGGCGGAAAGAATGTTGGAAAGTCAGATTGTTTGACTGGGCATAATGGAAGATATTATCACCAAAAAAATTACTACAAAGTAGAACCTTGGCCATCAGGTCACCAAGTGGAGATATTGAAACAGATCATGAGCAGGTAGAACTTTAAACATAAGTGACAACCTGCAATTCCAATCTAAAATCTGGATTTTCTTCTTTTGATGCTATCCAAGAAAGTACTGCAAAAGCAGTTTTTAATAGTTTAATTTTCTCAATATAAATAAAATGAAAAGAATGTTCATAAAGCAGTGTTCACTTCTTACAAGAAGCCTTAGATAAGTATTCACCAGATGCATCACACTCCTGTTTTATACAGAATGCAGTGAGACATTGTTAACTTGATCATGCATGAGTACAGTCAGCACCTTTCTAATTATATGAAAGTTTGACCCATTAAACTGATCAGAAATATTTGTATACCCACAAGCATTCACGGCAATTTATTTTGAGCATATTGCACTGAAATATTTACTTAAGCTTTCTGAAGCTGAGCATCCCTGACACTTTTGAGACCTCAATATCTTGAATTTTTCAAATCATTGCTTTCCTAATCAAGGAATAAAGAGACATAAAAGCTTCATTTAATGAAAATAATTTAGAAGCAAATTTTTTTTGAGGAGAATCTAAGCACAGAGAACCCAGAATACTTTTAATCCTTGCCCATATTTTAAGTATTGAACTTGGTTACAATAGATTTTCAGCACATTCTCTCTGAGAAAATATTACAACCACACTGAAATTCTTAAAAGCTTATGAGCAGGTCTTTACTAGAATTT